AATTACTTGAATAGCTTTTGAATATATATTTTTTTTACGAAAAACAAATTATTGTAATTTTAATTGATTAGAATTATTATTTCTGTTAATCAATATTTTCAATAATAACCATATTTCAGAAAAGTCATTTTTTATAATATCTATATAACCTAATATTTAATTTAGCGAATTTATACATTTAACATAATGTCATTATTTTTAAGTGTCACCTAATGGAAAATTCACAGACACTAAAAGCTATTTGACATAATTTTTAAAGATTTGAGTGTTCACATAACCTTAAATTCACTTGTAATAAATAATTCTTGGCATAATTTTTATTGTACTAAATAATTATTTATTATATATTTCTACTTTGTAAATTATTGTGTACCATAAAATATACTTCTTTAAAAAATAATATTTCATAATTTCAAAATACATTAATTACTTGTGAGAGTATAATTGTTATTTTAACGAATCATTATTTATTATGTTTTTCATTGTTGTGAATTGTTATTTACATTAATTTGATTATCTATAATGAATATTTTGCATAATTATCATTTTTCTTAATAAACATATTACCTCAAGTTTATTTTCATGATTTTATATTCAACATAATTTTATTGTTTCTAACATTCACTTAACCTAAAATTTAGAGCTACTAAATACCATTTGACATAATGTTCAAAAATTCGAATTTTCATATAATCTAAAATTCATTTGGACATAATACCATTTGACATAAAATTTATAGGACCTAAAAACTGTTTCTAATAAACGTTTTATTTCGCATAGAATTAACATTTTCTACTGCTAATTTGTTATAACGTTAAAGTACTTTAATTATTGGTGGACATAATGCTAAATTTCAAGTTTTATTATTTACTAAAACTTTTATTATACCAAATTTGTAGTTACCTTAATTTAAATTTTGCCGATTAACCTGCAATTATAATTTTTTAAAAATATATATGTATCTAGTCATAAAATTTTGTTTAATAAATTAACATTTGATATAATATTTATTTTTTTAAAAAGTTACATAACCTAAAATACACTGTCACTAAATGCTGATTTACATAATTTGTAAATCACAGAAAATTCATATGACCTAATTGTTAAATTCACAATATATACTTTTTAAGAATCTTTATGTAATATATAATTTATTTTAAACAAATACCATTCTTTTAAAATGTCATATAACCTATAATGTACACAGTAGAAAGTTCATTTTCCCTAAAATATTAATTAACTGTTTTAGTGTAATTGTTTCCCATATATCTCTTATATATTATATGGTTAATACTGTCGATAAAGTAGTACTAGATGGCGCTATTAGTATTTTCTATTAATGTAATATAAAAATGGTGGGAACTTTAAAAGCATCTATAAAAAAATAAATCAATTGAATTTTTAAATGTGAATTTATGCAGTTGAGAACAAAATTAAAATTTTTTTTTAATTTAAAACATAAATATTCATAAAAATAGAAAAATTTAATAAATTCTTAAATATCTACTAAAAATAAAAGCTTAAACTTAAGTTTGTATTTTAATTCATTTGCTTTATATCACTTTGTTTATCAATTAAATAACAAACGTGAATATAGTAATAAATTTGCTTTTAATGTTTAATTGCCTTTATAATTAACAATGTGGTCATAAGATTTCTAAAACAGTTTATATACTATACATATATTAGTTACATACAATTACTGATACTATCGATCATTTATTGTACTACACATATTTATTTTTTTTTTATTATTATTATTCATGGGAAACGTACACAGATATTTTCAACTAGAGCACTGAAAAAAAAAATTTATTTGAATCAATTAAATGGTAAATGAACCAATAATTTCAGTATTTAAAGCAAATACGAAGAATAATTAATTGATAATATTCATAAAATTGTTGTTATATTAATTCTTAAAAAAATTATTATTACTTTTGTATATACAAAGTAAAAAATAGTTTAATATTAATATTTGAAATTAGGTAGTTCGAAAAATAAACAAAGAAATTTTCAAATTAGAAAATTCACTGATAATCGTATTTTTTAGAATTTGTAAATAAAAACAGAGATTAAAAAAATGCTTGAAAATTAATAAAAATTAATTTTATTATTCAAAAAATTGAGAAGCAGTCAATAAAAACTGCTGCAAATACAGAAATTAAATTTAAACGATTTTTTCTACCACTTAAAAGTTATTTAGGTATTTTCCAATGAAAAAAAATTATTAGAATTAGAGAAAATAAATTTTTAATATCCTTTTTCCCTATTTTCAAAATCTACGAATTTTTTCAGCGAATATGAAAATTCAAAAAAGGTTTAAATATATTTTGACTTACTTTTTTTGAAGGCCATTCAATCTCTCTAAAAAATTATTATAATAACAATTAATTTATTATACTACTTAATTAAAATATATTAATCATTGCAAAACTTTTTAAAGTAAAATATTAATTGATAATAATATGTTAAATATTGTATTATAGAACGTCACATGTATAATATCTGATTTAGAATTAATTAGGTAATACAATACATATATACCTATACCTATAGCAGAAAAATATATCGCTGCCAAAATGATTTGTCTTTTTTTTTTTTTGACCTACAGTTAAAAAAGATGCCCAATAACGATATTAAATTACGTCAAAATCTATGTGTAATTTGGCCCACATTTTTTTACCTTTTTACAGGTCAAAAAGAGGCCCAATAAACTGCCGTTAAATTACATCAAAATCTATGTATGGTCAAATTCAAAGAATTTTGTTACTAACGTAAATTTTCATAAATAGACCATGAACCCTGAATGATTATTTCATTTTAAAATATAGAAGATTATATCTCATTAGAAAGTTATAAAAACTTATTTTTATTAACTGAATGCTGAATGTTTGAAGAAAGTGTATGCATGGTTTGCTACACAGAACTTGAAAAATCTAGTTAAGGTTTGAAATTTTAAAAAACCCACAGTTTTGGTTAGTTCTTTTTTGTAAAAAAGGTAAATCGTTTATGTTTCATACGAGGCAAATTATATTTTTCATATTCTGAAATTCTTAATAAACAATTGAATAAAATAAAATTTAATTTGTAGTGTGGTTTTTCGCAATGTTTTTTATCATCCAAATTGGCATAATAAATAGCTTAATTAATAAATAATTCATTTAAATTTGTTACAATGTACGACTTGTATGCTTATATTTGAACAATTTATTATTATTTATTGTAAGCTTCTATTGTATGCTTCTATTGGGTCGATGAAAATTTTGAATATTTCTTCTAGAAATTGTCGTTTCGAGTAATCATTTCTTTCTGTTAGTTTTGTCCATTCTGCGAATATCATCTCATCTTTAACAACGTTCCTAATTTTGCGCAATCTTGTGATATTATAACCTCGTTCGAGGGATTGTAAATCAATTGCTATTCCACTTTGATGTTGAACAAGAGTCCCTGAAATTCCGGAATAAAGTATGTTTAATATTATTTATAAAATACAGAAACTAAGAAAATTTTAGAAGATTTATATTTAAAATTGCATTTTTTAACAATGAATATGTGAAATTTTTGTAAATCTTAGAAAACAATATTGTTTCTTACTTTTTATTGTATAAACTATTTTAGACACAAAAAAGTAATATTTTTATGTATTCCATATATCGTTTGTTATTTTTAAGATTAAATATTTGTTTCTATTAAGTGATTAAAATACGTTTTAATAAATAAATAAATCACTTTCATTATTTATTTCAGTACATTTTTGTTATTGAAGTATAATATGTTAAAAAGGACCTGATAATTTTACCATGTTTTCTTAGTTTTAATTGTGATAATGATTAATTAATGAACTGAATATTAAGTATGTATCTTTAAGAACATACTTCTATTAAGTGGTTTATGAAATAACTGACCAAAAAAATTGTTTTAGTAGTTACTTATCTTTGAAGCCATGCAAATATGAAAGTTATTTGAAAATCACCCATGTAACATATTTTGTTGTATTAAAGATAAATAATAATTTTTTTGTTTCAAATTTAACAATGAATTTATCCTTGCTGAAAATAACAATGTCAGCTATGTAAATACTTTTTTTGATTAGAAAAATCCGAAACTTTAAAATTAAAAAGATTTACTCTTTAAATCTGAAATGGTGATAAATATACCACAAATTTCCAATAGCGAATTTATACAATATGAATTAATATGTATATTCAAAATGATTAATGAAATGTCATTGATTAATTAACGCTTTTGCTTCCTCATGAGGAAGCTTTGCATTGGTGACGATTTTCAATTTTTCAAAACAAGGTTATATGGACTCATTTTCATCTAGAACATATGTATATTCAATTATGAGCAAATGTCTAGATCTATGTGTGTGTATGTATGTGTGTATGTGTGTGTGTATGTGCGTGTGTGTGTATGTCACAAAAATTGTGTACAAATTATCTCAGACAAATTTTGATGGATTGTCCTGAAATTTTGCAGGTTTATTGCAGTCATTAATACCTGAAATCTGACACAAGGATTTTTAAAAATATCTACAAAATTTTTTTTTATACAATTTTTTTAAAATTCAGAAATTTTTTTTTTTGTATTTTCTGAAATAATTTTTTTATTTGTTAATATTTTTATTAATTATTCTCAAAATTACATTCCTGGCAAGAAAACGAATCGATTGATGTATACAAAGTATATATTTTATCAAAATTTATAAAATTAATAAATATTTTTCTTTTTCACAAAAAATTCAAATTTTGTATTTTTTTCATAATTAATTTAATATTAATATTAATATTTTGAAATGATTATTCTATCATAAAATAGAAGCAATTGGCAAATGAAAGTGTAAATTTCACCAAATATTTATACAACTTATAAATGATTTATATAATTTTATTTTTAACAAATCTTCTGGACGAACCCTTTTGTACATAATTTTTCAAAAGTTTGCAAAACCGCAATTTTTATATATTGAGGAAGCTAAATGGTCATAAAATGAACAACTTGTTTGAAATTAGTGGTATACTTATTTCCCGGAATTAGTGAGATTTTGTTAATTTAGATTTAGAGAGAAAGTTCAGTATAGATCTGTCGTTGTTCTTTGAACTACAGTTATTAATTATTATGCAAAAAGTTTATATTATGATTCCATTTTTTTCGATACTGATTCATGTGACAAAAATGTGTTTAAAATTTCGTAAGAATTGGTCAAATAGTTTTTGTAAAAGATATTATTCGTTATAAAAAAAATTAAATTGAATGTAAGGAAAGTAGAATAACTTAATAGTGAAATTCCAAATATTTGTGTGAACACCAAATAATTGTTTTAAAATTTTATTGTACGATTCGCAGTCGTTGTTTGTGCGCTTTGGAAGCATAAACACGCTAAACGTATTAGGTGTCACTCTGCGAATCCATTGTCTCTCAAAATAATTTAAAAACGGTAGCATAGCAATTTGTGTCTGTGGCAATAAATTTGCCTTAATTTCTTCATATGCGTTCAAAATTTCGTAGTTGGGTAACAATGGGAGTGCTAGAATTAGCTTTAAACAATGGTGAGCTTCAGCAGATTCCTGTATCAGTTGTTCAAGTCCTAAGGTAAATATGTTCCTCAAATTTGCCTGAAAATAATAATATAGTAGTTATAAATTATATTTTACAGTAAAAAGAAATTGAGCTATTATTTAAAATATAAGCAGAAGTAATTTATCGACAGTATGAAATTATTTTTAAATATAACTTTTATAAAGTTTCTTCAAAAAAATACAATTAATTTTAAAAATATTAATTAAATTCAATTATATTTAAGGCAATTTTAATTAAATTTCTCTAATGGGTTCAATTACTTTTAAAACTGTTAATAAAAATGATTAAATAAAATTCTATTCTTTTCAAAAAAATTAAAATACATTTATATCAAGAATTAAATTGCTTTCTGTATAACTTAAATTAATTTTTTTCCAAAGAATTTAATTATTTAAAAAAATTTCATTCAAATGCTTTAAATTTATTTTATTTTTTTTTAAATTTTTTGATAAATATTTTCCAATAATTTTATGATTTTAGTACATTAATTTAAAAATCAAAAACAATTTAAATTAAAAACAATTAAAAATGTTAAAGAACTAAAACGATACTTTAAATTGGGAACTGATTGCCGGAATACTATCATCATTTAAATAGATAGTTATATATATATATATATATATATATATATATATATATATATATATATATATTAGCTGCGATACCCGTCTTCGACGGGTTATTAGTTATTGTTATTCCTACTTATATATTAATAGCTGCGATACCCGTCTTCGACGTGTTTCTTAGTATTTTTATAGTTTTCCATATTGAGTATTGATTGGTATTTAACCAACTACATTGAAAATAATTTTCTTGATGATTATTAATATTAATTAATGAGGAAGAAAACGAAATTTTAAGGAAAGAAAAAAGATAATGTTTACAATTTTTAAAATCGCCCAAATGTGAAAACCATCATGGCTTAATAACGGCCCAGTACTGGCAAAGTTGTCACCTAGTCTTGGTCGATATTATTGGGACTACTCTTGTGGTGTTAATTACGGTTTGACGTCGGCAGACGTTAATGGCCCAATATTCACTGCCATTACTTTCCCAGTATTGGCAAAATACAAAAACTAATATAAATTATTCCATTTTTTATTAATTAACTACGTCCCAATATTGGCAATTATATTTTGCCATCATTGCAGATACAAAATTTTTGCTATTAATGTGCCATTACTGAGCCGAGCAACGTCCCAATATTCTGAAACTGAAATTACCAACGTTTATTCGACGAAAATGTTTACTTTAGCTAATTGCTTATTTTAATATTAACACCCTTTTAAAAAAATTACAAAAGGATCACGGATTTCCCGAAATTCCTGGAAATTCAACTAAATTATTGTTTCCTCGCCTCGCAAGCATTTTTTCTCTTAATAATCAGAATCCATTTAAAAAAATTGCAAGAGGATTCGAGGCGAGGAAAGTTGTGATTTTTATTTTTTTGTCACGGATTTTCCAAAAATCCGAGAATTCAGTTTTATCCAATACTTTCAATTACAACTTGCCATCATAAATAGAAAAGTTTAGCCTAATAGTCTGATAATAATGTGCCACTATTGGTCCGTGCTAAGTCCCGTTACCAGCAATGAGACGTTTTGAATGCCAGTATAGGCCCACCCAGGCGCGAGCTGACAGTGAGTTCAGGCTTTACGAAGCTTGATTGAGACTTGGTCAGTATTGGTTGAAGATTGGTGGGACAGCGAAAGCAAGGCTACTTGAGTCCGGAATAGTAACATCGATGTAAACCTGACGCTCAGTCTTTGTTGAAGACTGGCGTTCAATCTTCAATCAATGCTGCGGAAACCGAAAGCAGGACTGAACAAGACTGCTTCCACTGTTCCCAAATTTACACGCTTCTCACGCGTTCATTCAATATAACGTGAATATATTAATTTTTATTATTAATAATAAACAGTATTGTTATTAATATATATGTATTTACATATTTAATGACAATAAGTTATTATTATAATAATTATATTATTTTCATATAAATATTATATGACTAACAATAAATGTCATTTAACATAATAATATTGAAAAATAATTTTAGCAAAAAAAAAAACACAATTTGTGATAATTTGTACATTTTTTAACTTCATTTTTGACAGACTTTTAATATTATTTACAAACAAGTTCACAAGTTTTTATTCACAACACTTATTAATTATACAGATTAAATAGTAATTTTATTATTTTATGTAACCGCTTATAATGAAAAAATCCGCTCGCATGTGGGATCGAACTCACGTCCCCCCGCCCTAGACGCATTCCGGAAGTCCTAGACGCAACCACTTAATCCGCACGGCCACTGAGTCTCGATGAGACCTCGGGCTAATGTAATATATTAATGCCAGTGCCGTATACTTTGTTACTTATAAGGGCAAAGTGAAAACTATGACTAAAAATTTTACACATACTAATCCTGAATTATTTTAATTATTAAAAATGAATATTAAATAATTCATAATAAAATTGTAATCATTACAAAATTCAACTTTTAAAACATTTTACAATTAAAAATATTTAATGGATAATTTAATAAACATCGATAAATAATTGATATTTTTTATTATTCAGTAACAAAATTATTAACATTTATTATTAGATATATTAATAATATATTATGTAAATAAATATAATTTGGAATAATAATGAATTATAATGTGAAATATTATAATTATTATTAATTATAATAATATTTATTAATTGAATAATAATTATTAAAATTATAATAATTAATAAATAAATAAATAATAATTAATTAAATTAATATTAAAAGTTAACATAATTAATAAAATGATTAAATATGATGCAGTGTCAGGAATATTTATTGCACATTTTAATTATTATTTATTAATTATCTATAATAATTTTGAAAACATTTATAAAAAAAAATTTTCCATTTAACTTTCTTTAAATATGAATGTTACAATTAATAATATATTTATTTATTAATTGATAACTTAATGTTAATTATTATTATTATTATTTGAAACAATTATTATAATTATAATTATTATAATATTATTTAATTAAGTGAACACGGTAATAAATAAAGATAAACTGAATATTGAGTAAAGATTGATTCAAGCTTGAATCAAGATTAGATGTTCGAGCTTCACTCATAAAGACTGACCGAGTCTTGAATCGAGCATGGGACGAGCATTGGGTCCAATGTTGAACCAATATTGAACTAATATTGATTGACAGTGATGTAAAGACTGCTTCTACTGTGAGTTACCCACACTGAGCGTTCAAGACTCAATCAACCTTTAATCTATCGTCAGCATTGGTCTTTCGCGCCTGGGCAGTAGTTTTTGCCAGTTTTCTGCAGACATTCACTGAAAAAATTACATTTTAATTTTAAGAAAATCTTAATATTAAAATCTTAATATTCTTATATTCCCCACTTAGATTATGTGGGAAATATTCTTACAATAAGAAGAAAATTAGTATTGTAAGAATATTTCCTACTTAATTTAAGTGGGGAATATTCTTGGCGCATATTTAAGAAGTTTTTCTTAAAATTAGAATGTAATTTTTTCAGTGCTGACGGGCCCGTTTTGCAGTCTTAGAATTTCGCATTTGGAGCTTATAAAATACCATTTATTATCTTTTTTCCGAGAAGCACCACGTGGAGGTGACCACTATTGGTTGTTTTTGGCAAGTTTTTAAATCCCGTGCAGAAATTGCCCTAACAGGGCCCTGACCCCGCATGACCCCGCATGGCCTGGTAGCTTGTCCAATCGGGCTTTTCGTCATGGCGCTGGGCGGGTTCCCTGTTTCACCCCGGTCTGGACCCGGCCAGGCCCCTGTCAAAATTTCTACTCGGGATTATTCTCCAGGAGCTTTGTAAAACTAAAAAAAATTCTTGTTAATTAAATTAGATAAAAAATATGAAACATTTTTATTTCAGTATTACTAAATTATCTTGGATCATAATTTGTAAAAACAAAAAACATCTTATTTAGAAGTAATAAGTAGGTAAAATCAAAAAAATTAGATATGAATATTTTCAATTTTTATGGGTAAAAATATTTAAACTTTTAAATTTTATATTTAAAATTCCTATTTTTTTCTATTTTTATGATAAAATTGAAATTAAAATTACCAAGAAAACAAATTAATTAATTAATTAGAAAATATCAATACCAACTTAATGCAAGAATTAATTAATATTTAACCCTTTGAGTAGCAGTGATACATTTAATTTATATGAACATTTTTTTGTTAACTTCTGTATAACTTTCTTGATTTTAAAAACTGAATATTGAAACAATTTTTTTGGTCCAATGAGGCAAATTTCTTGCTTTAAATACTGGTCTTTAAATAAAAAAAGTTTAATAACTTTCCATAAAAAGCTTGTTTAAAAATCAAAAATCATCATTTTTGTAGAAAAAATTTGATCAGAAAAATCGAAAAAAATTTCAAAATACGTCTTTTTTTGAAATTTTAGTATAGAAATGGGTTGTATTTATCTAAAAAGTTAGCTAAGGATAGTTTTTCATCCATTTTATAAAAAATAAAAATTTTTCATTTTTTTGATTTTTCGAATTTTTTGAAAAAATGTCGTAACTTTCGTTTAAGTGAATATTTTTTAATCGGATAAGGCTATGATTTTAAGTTACGTTAATACCTAATAGACTGCCAAGTTTCACTTTAATCGGTTAAACCGTTTTGAAGTGATGCGCGAACAAAGTTTTGCATACAGACAGACAGACAGACAGACAGACAGACAGAAGGACAGACAGACAGACAGAAATTTTTTTTTTTACATTTTTCGATTTCTCATGTCTCAAAACGAAAAAATATATAAAAATTTTCAAGCTTGGAGCATTGTACAGACAGAAGTCTGATTTTATTAATATAGATATCTATATTAATAAAATCATCTATATTAATAAAATCAGACTTCTGTCTGTACATTGCTCCAATCTTGAAAATTCTTATATATTTTTTCTTCTTGAGACATGAGAATTCGAAAAATGTAAAAAAAAAAATGTCTGTCTGTCTGTCTATCTGTCTGTCTGTCTGTCTGTCCTTCTGTCTGTCTGTCTGTCTGTATGCAAAACTTTGTTCGCGCATCACTTCAAAACGGTTTAACCGATTAAAGTGAAACTTGGCAGTCTATTAGGTATTAACGTAACTTAAAATCATAGCCTTATCCGATTAAAAAATATTAACTTGAACGAAAGTTACGACATTTTTTCAAAAAATTCGAAAAATAAAAAAAATGAAAAATTTTTATTTTTTATAAAATGGATGCAAAACTATCCTTAGCTAACTTTTTTAGATAAATACAACCCATTTCTATACTAAAATTTCAAAAAAAGACGTATTTTGAAATTTTTTTCGTTTTTTCTGATCAAATTTTTTCTACAAAAATGATGATTCTTGATTTTTAAACAAGCTTTTTATGGAAAGTTATTAAACTTTTTTTATTTAAAGACCAGTATTTAAAGCAAGAAATTTGCCTCATTGGACCAAAAAAATTGTTTCAATATTCAGTTTTTAAAATCAAGAAAGTTATGCAGAAGTTAACAAAAAAATGTTCATATGAATTAAATGTATCACTGCTACTGAAAGGGTTAAATATTAATTAATTCTTGCATTAAGTTGGTATTGATATTTTCTAATTAATTAATTAATTTGTTTTCTTGGTAATTTTAATTTCAATTTTATCATAAAAATAGAAAAAATAGGAATTTTAAATCTAAAATTTAAAAGTTTAAATATTTTTACCCATAAAAATTGAAAATATTAATATCTAATTTTTTTGATTTTACCTACTTATTACTTTTAAATAAGATGTTTTTTGTTTTTACAAATTATGATCCAAGATAATTTAGTAATACTGAAATGAAAATGTTTTATATCTTTTATCAAATTTAATTAACAAGAATTTTTTTAGTTTTACTAAGCTCCTGGAAAATAATCCCGAGTAGAAATTTTGACAGGGGCCTGGCCGGGTCCAGACCTGGGTGAAACAAGGAACCCGGCCGGCGCCATGGCGCAAAGCCTGATTTGACGAGCTGCCAGGTCGGGTCCTGGTTTCATGCGGGGTCAGGGCCCTGTTAGGGCAATTTCTGCACGGGATTTAAAAACTTGCCAAAAACAATACTAATAGTGGTTACCTCCACGTGGTGCTTCTCGGAAAAAAAGCTAATAAATGGTTTTTTATAAGCTCCAAGTGTGAAATTCCAAGACTGCAAAACGGGCCCGTCAACACTGAAAAAATTACATTCTAATTTTAAGAAAAACTTCTTAAATATGCGCCAAGAATATTTCCCACTTACACTCTAAATCTGAATCAGTGAAAATTTCACTGATTTCAATTCAGTGGCCCAGTTTTCTTTAATTCATCAGTGGGATTTCACTGAGAATCAGTAAAAACCACTGATTGTCAGTGAAATTCCACTGATTCATCAAAGAAAACTGGGCCACTGAATTGAAATCAGTGAAATTTTCACTGATTCAGATTTAGAGTGTAAATTAAGTGGGAAACATTCTTACAATACTAATTTTCTTCTTATTGTAAGAATATTTCCCACATAATCTAAGTGGGGGAATATTCTTGGCGCATATTTAAGAAGATTTTCTTAAACTTAGAATGTAATTTTTTCAGTGAATGTCTGCAGAAAACTGGCAAAAATTAATTGGGCCTATATACTAGCATACAAAACGTCTCATTGCTGGTAACGGGACTTAGCACGGACCAATAGTGGTACATTATTGTCAGATTATTAGGATAAACTTTTCTATCTATGATGGCAAGTTGTAATTGAAAGTATTGGATAAAACTGAATTCTGGGATTTTTGGGAAATCCGTGACAAAAAAATAAAAATCACTACTTTCCTCGCCTTGAATCCTTTTGCAATTTTTTTAAATGGCTTCTGATTATTAAGAGAAAAAAATGCTTGCGAGGCGAGGAAACAATAATTTAGTTGAATTTCCAGGAATTTCGGGAAATCCGTGATCCTTTCGTAATTTTTTTAAAGGGCTGTTAATATTAAAATAAGCAATTAGCTAAAGTAAAAATTTTCGTCGAATAAACGTTGGTAATTTCAGTTTCAGAATATTGGGACGTTGCTCGGCTCAGTAATGGCACATTAATAGCAAAAATTTTGTATCTGCTATGATGTCAAAATACAATTGCCAATATTGGGACGTACCTCGCCATAATAATATCACAATATCGATAATCGATAAATAGTGTAGCTTATAAAACCATTAAGCTTTCTTGACTTCACGTCAGAGTAGCAAAGTGAAATAAAAGACGTATAAATATGATAAATTAATTAGTTAATTAATAAAAAATGTAATAATTTATATTAGTTTTTGTATTTTGCCAATTCTGGGTAAGTAATGTCAGTCAATATTGGGCCATTAACGTCTGCCGACGTCCAACCGTAATTAACACCACAAGAGTCGTCCCAATAATATCGGCCAAGACTAGGTGACAACTTTGCCAGTAGTGGGCCGTTATTAAGCCATGATGGTTTTCACACTTAGAGCGATTTTAAAAATTCTAAACATTATCTTTTTACTTTCCTTAAAATTTCGTTTTCTTCTTCATTAATTAATATTAATAATCATCAAGAAAATTAGTTTAAATGTAGTTGGTTAAATACTAATCAATACTCAATATGGAAAACTTTAAAAATACTAAGAAACACGTCGAAGACGGGTATCGTAGCTATTAATATATAGGTAGGAATAACAATAACTAATAACCCGTCGAAGACGGGTATCGCAGCTAGTATATATATATAATACGTTCTAAAAAATGGTGAGTATTTGAAATTTTTTAAATATATTTTCAAATATATTGTTTTTTGATAAAATTTTCTTTATATAAGCCATATATTAATATTTTTCTTATTAAATATATAAATTTTTATTAGGTGAAAACAATAATAAATACCTGTACATAATGAAATAAACACGCATTCATTTCGATTCCAGGAAAGCTTTGTCGTAATGCTGTTCTTAAAGCTGTTTCATAGTCACTCATTGCTTCAACTACAGTCAAATTTGGAAACAGTCTCTTTAAACCCTCAAAACAGCAACATAAGAGCTCGTAAGTTTGCACACCATTAACACCCAGACGAAAGGAATGGTCTTAACATTAAATATAATTCTTATTAATATATGTATGTATGTTAGTAATGAACATTTTTAATGTATAAAATTTTCTATTTTGCTTTAATTATAAATTATTTACGATAAAACAAATTTTCATGGAAAAAGGATTAATTACTTTACATTTATTACACTCTTTTAAATTTGTCAAATTATTATTATATTATTCATTATTCACTAAAAATGTTAAATTATAAAAAATGTCTCTTTCTATCAGTAAATTTTAAATGCTAAAAAACTTACTTGATGCAGATTCCTTCAAATTTTGTAATGGAGCGTATAGTACTTGACTTTATGGATTAAAAATAAAAAATTACTGTCAAAAATATAACCAGTCCGATTGAAATAGGAGAAAATTTTACGTAAAACTATAAATTAAATTTTTCATAACTATAAAACATAAAGATTTTATTTTTAATTTCATTTCTTCATGTTTCATAACAATTAATAAAGATGACCGAGTGATAAAATCATTCAATTATTTTTTAAAACAATTTTACACTAAAATTCTTCTTTAAATTGACATTATTTTCATAATTCTCTAAAAAGTTTTTTGACAATTTTTAAATCCATTTAATTGTAATATTCAATTTTACGAAATTTTAATTATTAGTAAATTCTTCAATTAAATATATATTAGAAATTAAAAATGTTGAATATAAACAAAATTCAATTAAACTGTTTTAAAGAAATTAATTTCAAAATTCAATTAGGATTTCAAAAAATCCACGCTATCATTATTTATGAAAATAATCGAATAATTGCGACGAAATTTATAAAAAAAAATTTAAATAATTAAATTCCTGTGAGAGTTTTATAATTTTATGAATGTAATTAAAGGTTTGCGTAGAATTTTATTAAATCTTTAAAAATAATTGAATTTCTGATAAGAATTTTTTTAATTTTGAAAGTAATTGAATTTTTGCAATCATTTGTAATTCCTCTAAAAATCTTTAAATTATATCATGCAATTAACGAACTTTTCGTCTTTTTTCTATAAAAATTACGGATTTTACGGACCTTTTTTTCTAAACAAAATTGACTTTTACGAACTTTAAGCAAGTTTACAGAACTAATTCGAGCCTTGTATATTTTGAAAATTTAAAGATAATTTTAAATTAAATAATATAACTGTTACGTATGACATCGTAACTATTTTTAATTTTTTTTATTAATTAAAAATTATTTATATTATATAGCCTCATTAAAATTGGGAATCTTGTAATTAGGTTAAGTACACATATACAACAAACACTAAAAGGGCAGACAAAACAACCTATCATCGTTACAAGATTATTAATTTCAATTCTATTAAATTAGTAACTCTCATTAAACTTCCTTGGTTTCATTATTATTTAGATATGTCAATTTTATAAAATTATTGCGAAAGTCACGGACAACACCCATATTTCAAAATGAATTACAGTTTCCAAAGAGCTTGTTTTTCATCGAAAAACTCAGATGTATTGATGTCAAATATTTTAAATAAAAGACACATATACAAGTGAAACTACTGTGGTGAGAAATCATTGAACTCATGCTATGCCATTTAAGGAATTTGCAAGCTTGCAAAAAGCTTGCCTCGCAACAAGTAGTTCAATGAGCTATGTGTAATAGTATCCCCACTATTAATAATTTAACGAAATTCAGGGTGTGATCCAAGACTTGAGCCGATTAACGATTGAGTTTGACTTGAGTCCTCCCGCAACAAAGTTGTGTATATTGACTTTGTTGTTTTTTGGGAATTGAGTTTCTTTTATTATATATAAAATATATTTTTCATAAAGTTTCTGAAGTTATTCACATTTTCTTTGAATCGAGATTTTGAGTTCATTTCTTTAATATTATTGGACGCAATTTAAATTGGTATTTAAAGTGATTAATAAAAAAATAGAGTGAGATTAAAACGTAAATAAAGTATATCAGTTGGATAAAATTTTAAGTCCGGTGAACCCGAGTTTTTAAAATATTTGTTCAATTTTATTATATATATGATCAGTGAACAGAGAAAAAGGAATTTCTTTTAATAGTGGAATTTTTGAATGATATAAATATATTTAAAAGAATTAATATCTGGATAAAAAGGAGACCAAGGAAATAAAATTGGAAAAGAGTAATCTCTAACAGGTGTATACCAAACGATCTACCTGAGGAAGTAAACTGAGATTTGTCGGAATTAAGTTACACATAATAAAATTGTACTGGTGAGTTGTTGAACTTTGTCTTACACACAACACATTTTACTCGTTCATACAATCAGTTTGTTTTTACATATTATTGTGTAAGGAATATATCCTTATTTTTGTAATTGACAATTGATAACAAATTTATAAAATAATATCTTGTATATTGATTAAACATAAACATTGACTAATAATAATATATATATATACATTACTTAAATTACAAATAAAAGTGTTTCATTTAAAGTCTTGCACCTATAACAAAATATTTTTTTCTTTTCTTTATATTTGAATAAATACCGTTTAATCGGAATGGTTGACACGAGAACTATTTAAGAAAAGTATCCACTACCTTAAAATATTTTATTTCCGAAGTGCAAATACGTTTCCTTAGGATAATTGACTATAATTTCAATTCTTTCTTTAATTTAGAAAAGTAAATTTTCAATTAAATAAAGTGAATTTTTTGTGTAATAAGATTTATTAAATTATTATCAAATAATTAAAATTCATATCTAACAATAACTATAGAATACAGATTTATTCTCTTCTTTATGCTTAAGTAGATTAAGAAATAAAATTTTAAATATACAATACCGAAATTGGGATATTATTAAGATTTACTATCAAAAAATAAAAAGGTATAAATAGAAATTTCCCAGCAAACACGTTACGTAAGTGTTACATAACAAATAAAGCACCTTGTTATGTCTCACTGTGACAATATTGTTATGTAACAACTACATAATGAGATAGTAACAATATTATATAACACTGTTACTGAATGGTGATATAATAGTTACATAATTTTTTTAAATAACTATTATATAACTGTGTGATATATTCATTACATCACAGAGTGATAATTTTTGTCTTGTTAGATTGTTCTCTAATTGTTACATAACTGTTACGAAACTGTGTGACATAACAGATACATAATTTTGTTATAATTAATAAAGTAGGTTACATTATTATATCACACTGTGACAATATTATTATGTAACCATTATATAATGAGATAGTAACACTGTTATATAACACTGTTACTGGATGGTGATATAACAGTTACATAATTTTTTCAAATAACTATTATATAACTGTGTGATATATTCATTACATCACAGAGTAATAATTTTTGTCTTATTGCATCGTTCTCTAATTGTTACATAACTGTTACGAAACTGTGTGACATAATAAATACATAATTTTGTTATAATTACTAAAGTAGGTCACATTATTATATCACACTGTGACAATATTATTATGTAACTATTATATAATGAAATATTAACACTGTTACTGGGACGTGATATAACAGTAACATAGTTTCATAACATACGTATTATACAACAATGTGATACATTTTTTTAAACTGCACTTAAATAAATAATAGGCAGAATGTGTTTTTTACATAGGCAATTTTTTCCTAAAAACAAAAGCAATACACGCAAAGCAATTGCTTATTCTTTTTAAAAAGAAATTTTTGCTTTAGTTCCTAAGGTTAACATAACAAAGCAAATTTTAATTTGAATATTTAGAGAATACTATATTAAATAATAAATTTATTTATTCCAATATTCACAACTAATCCAATGAAGAGATTAAACCTTATAAACAGAATTAATATTATATATATATATATATATTCATTTTTACTATCGTGAATATAATGATAATGTATTTTTATAGTTTATTATTTAAAAATTAAAAAATTATATTTTACATTTTTATTAATTATATGTGACGCGATTTGAAGAAAGGGAACTTAGAAGCAAAAAATTGTAGGCTATGTTTGCAATTTTTTAAATGAAAATACAAAAAAGTAACAACCGTCAATATAAATAACTGACATTTTAAGTCTTTATTACAACTAAAATATTTAAAAACAAATTATTTAAATAGCAAACATGTTCTGTAACTGTTACGTAACATTTCTGTAGTAATAAGAGCTAAATTACGTAACTGTTATGTAATTTTTATGTAACATAAAAGTAACAATGTTCTGTAACTGTCGTTACAAAATTGTTACGTAAAATTGTAGTCTCTCTGTTACGCAATAAAATTATGTAATTGTTACATAACTGTTATGTAACATGAAACACTATTTTATAATTATTGTTTCGAATAAATATTTTTTATTATAAATCTAGTTTAACTGTTTAAGTTTATTAATTTACAATAAATTATTATTAATAATTATTATCAGTATTATTTATTATAATTATTAATGTCCAAAACTTTTAAAGAAGTACGTAAAAGTAAAGTGGGGTGAAGAAGCCGACTTTTGGAACATTTTACGATATTTAATATATCACTCACTTTTAATTTTATTTAAAATTTTTTAACGTACTCTGAAAAGTTTGTCTATTAAAAATTTAAAAAATATCTTAATTTTTTTTGTAAAAAGTTGTCAGAAATTAATAAAGAAAAATTTTTATTTGAACAAATTTATTTAAAATTAATTTAAAGTTTATAACTCTCAAATTTTATGTGAAGAAAAATAGAATTTTCAGAATAAAATAAAAATTTGTAATCCCGATTAGTATAATTGTAATCGTTTCTTTTTGTTACTCACATGTGTGTGACATTGTTATGTAAATGCTACAAAATTGTTACTTATATGTGTGTAACATTGTTACGTAAATGTTACAGAATTGTTACTGAACACTGTGACTAATGTGTGGTAGATATTTTTATTAACACGTTAATCGTATATTACAAATAAAAAATCACAAGTTTGTCTTTGTTACGTAAT